GTCTCCCCACAGTCCCTCGGCCCGTTGTACAGTTACGATGACCCGTGCCATGCCCTTGCGCGTTGGGCAGCAGTCTTGGTTTACAGCAGGGTCATTGTGGCATTGGCAGACGCAGGAATCTCTGGAGTCGCTCTTGATGCCGGCCTGACAGGGCTCACTACAGTTCTTCCACAGGCCTTTTTCCAGGATGTAATGGCTGATGGCCAAGCGCATGTTCTTCCTGACAGGGGTATTTACAGGCAGTAATTCATGCAGCGAGTCCAGTGAATATGAGACCACGTCTGGATTCTGTGGCAGTGTGTTCAGCCACTCCTTGTAGGCTGATGGATTTTTGTCAGCAGAGAATAGAAGATCTGGCTCTGGGGTGTGGCCCCCCTTTATTTCTGTGAACCTGTAGAAAAGAGAGATGCTTCAACAGCTGAGCCACATGAGCTTTTCTGCAGCAAAAACTAGTCATTAAGTAGCACAAATAAGTAGAAAATGTGATAATTGAATGAGAAGAATATTCTTTACCTGTCACTGAAAAGGCTGGAGAAGGATGTCTTACTTTCAGTCTTCTCAATGTCCTTCTTGCAGTGCTTTGTTTCAGCTTTTACTGTCACTTTGATGGTGACGGATGCCTCAGCTTCCAGGCACATCTGCACCTCCTCCGAGCTGAGGCCCTGCAGGCTGGCCTGGCACTGCCTGATGCTGGTCACTGATTGAACACTTCCTCCCAGCTTCACCTAGAATTATATATTTAATCACTATCTGTGTATGATGTGTTTGTATAATTTCCTAAATGTGTGCATTGGTTGCTAAAATTACATTTTCTTGCAACAGTACCATCATTTTTATTCACCTTGGTGATGTAATGGGTGCCAAAGTTGTCAATCAGTTTATAAAACTGTTGCTTGGATTCTGGGTTGTAGACTTTGGGGAGCTGCTTTAATACTTGGTGAAACTCTTTATGCAGCTTTGGTCTGCTGGACACTCGATAGCTGTGTATGACATACATATGAAGCAGGCACACACCAGTATTGGACTGCACACTAAAATTTATGTTTTTTTTTCTGTGGGAGAGCGCAAGTAAAAGTTTAATCTCACCTGTAGTACTCACAGAACATGCTTT